ACCTTGGTTCCCAGGCTAAGCTTCCCAGGGGCTAGGATTATCTTTGCAACTGAGCTGAGGTGGCTTGTAGTGGAGCCAAATTTTGCCTTTGTCAGGCTATGAAGGCAAGGCCTTTGGGAAATTCAAAGCTTCTCTCCATTTCTCTAAGGAAGAAGAGTTCCTCTCCTAAAAGGCACAACCTCTTTGAAGGTTTTGGAAACCTCTGGGATTAAAGGAAAACTTGGATCTCTTTCCATTTATCAACTTGACATGTATTCGCATGTTTTCTCTGGAAATGTCTTACATTAGTTCATCCCAAAGGCAACTATGAGGCAGGTCTGGCATAGGCCAAAGGCTCATTCAAGAGGAAGAAGGCAGAATTCATTCATGCATCAGGTGCTGAGCCAGGTATTTTACACTTGATTTCCCATTGACTCATCACAACCTGTTAAGCAGATATTATTAATTTTGTTCAAGGTAAGAAAAAGAAAGAAAAAAACAAGACTCTGAGAGAGGACCTGCAAACTGGATAACATAGCCTGACATTGGTAAAAACATGATTGAAACCTCTATCTGCTTGAGCTCAAAGTTCATGCTCTTTCAGCTGTGCCCTCAGAGGCTTTCTGAACCCACAACTAGATTCAGCTTGGCATCGCTATCTCTCTCAATCTGTTCCCTACTTATCAGACTAGCTTTATCTCCCACAATTTCCCCCATTAGTGGTGTTTGGGAAGCTTTTAAAGAACAGATGAGTTGGCCAGGCACGGTGGCTCATGCCTGTAATCCCAGTACTTTGGGAGGCCAAAGCAAGCGGATCACGAGGTCAGGAGTTCAAAACCAGCCTGACCAACATGATGAAACCCTGTCTCTACTAAAAATACAAAAATTAGCCAGGCGTGGTGGCACGTGCCTGTAATCCCAACTACTCAGGAGGCTGAGGCAGGAGAATCACTTGAACCCAGGAGGCAGAGCTTGCAGTGAGCCGAGATCGCGCCACTGTGCTCCAGCCTGGGCAACAGAGTGAGACTCTGTCTAAAATAATAATAATAATAATAATAAATACATAAATAAATAACAGATGAGTTGGCCAGCAGTGGTGGCTCACACCTGTAATCCCAGCACGTTGGGAGTCTGAGGCAGGAGGATCACTTGAGCCCAGGAATTCGAGACCAGCCTGAACACCATGGCAAAACCCTATCTCTACAAGCAATACAAAAAATCAGCTGGGTGTAGTGGCTCACACACCTGTAGTCACAGCTACTAGGGAGGCTGAGGTAGGAGAATCACCTGAGCCTGGGAAGTCGAAACTGCAGTGAACAGTAATCGTGCCACTGTACTCCAGCCTGGGTGTTGGAGTGAGACCCTGTTTCAAAAAGATAAATAAATGAGTCCTAATTCTACATTGAACCTCCTAATGGTAGAGCCCAGGCGTAAGGATGTCTTTAGAGCTCCCCAGTCAACAGGTTTGTCCATCCTTGGTTAAGAATCACTATAACATATGGACCTTTTATTCCAGAGAAACTCTGCCTGCATTAATGCCTTGTGTGTACCCATTTCCTTGCCATTTCCCTTACCAAATTACCTAAACTGAGCAACTCCAATTGCCCTTCAACAACCCCATCTCACCTCTCCACTGATCAACATTCTGCCTACTGTCATCTGTTCAAATCAATGAAAAAAGGTACAGTTCAGTAAGTGTTCAATGTTTGGAAAAAATAACCAGTGTAGATGCTCAGCTCACCCCACACACTATGATAAGTTATAAATAAATTAAATAATTGAACACAAAAGTTTCATGACTAGGAAAATCAGAAATAACAAAAATGAATCATCTTAAAATTTTGCTGAGAAATGAAATTTCTAAGCGTGGAAGAAAAATATTTTATTAAAAGGGGAAAGTAGGTCAGATTCAACCACATAAAAATGTAAAACTACTGTATGGAAGAATAAAAACAGCTTATAAGAAAAATATTCATTGTGAATATGACAAGCAAGACTTAGTATATTATTTTCTAAACAGGCCATACAAATAGAGGGTAAGTACTCTAAACATGGGAATGCTGTCTGCTTTGTTTACTATTATATTTTCTGCATCTATAAATGCTTGACCTATAACAGCAAATGAGTACATATTTGTTGAATAAAGAGATTTAAAAATAACTTATCCATAAGGTAAATGAACAAAGGATCCAAACATTCACAAGAGAAGAAATACAATTACTTCACATTTAGGAACATATTGCTAACCTCACTTGTGATGTAAGAAATGGAAGTAGGCCAGACATGGTGGCTCCCTCATGCCTGCAATCCCAGCACTTTGGAAGGCTGAGGTAGGCGGATCACTTGAGGCCAGGAGTTCAACACCAGCCTGGCCAACATGGTGAAATCCTATCTCTGTGCAAAAGAAAACAAAAATTAGCCAGGCATGGTGGTGAACACCTGTAGTCCCAACTACTCAGGAGTCTAAGGCAGGAGAATCACTTGAACCTGGGATGCAAACATTGCAGTGAGCAGAGATCACACCACTGTACTCTACCTGGGCGACAGAGCGAGACTCCATCAAAACAAGAAAGAAGGAAGGGAGGGAGGGAAGGAGGGAGGGAGGAAGGAAGGAAGGAAGAAAGGAAGGAAGGAAGGAAGGAAGAAAGGAAGGAAGGAAGGAAGGAAGGAGAGAAAGAAAAGAAAAGAGAGAGAAGTACTTAAAATACCAATAGATTATTATTTTTGCCTATGAAATTAGCTGAGATCAAAAACAATAAAGAAAACGCCTGTAATCCCAGCACTTTGGGAGGCTGTGGTGGGAGAACGGCTTGAGCCCAGGAGTTCAAGGCTATAGTGAGCTATTATCTCACCGTGGCACTCCAGCCTGGGTGACAGAGTGAGACCCTATCTCAAAAATAGAAAAGAAAACTGTGACATATAATGCCAAAACACAGGTGAAACAGCTCCTTCTTGCTATCCTTGACTCAGCCACTCTGGAGACTAGCAGAAATGGGAACGAGGTTCTGATGGCATTGAGATGGTCACTGTAATGGGAATTAGTGGTTTTTTCCCGACCAGCAACCCTCCCTCCCCACCTCCTGACAGACCCCATGATCCTCAGGCAGTGCACCTACCCTCTGACCCCAGGGGAGCGTACACAATTAAAGACTGGCCAACCCGGCACTGGGATTTTTCAAACCAGCACCGAAGCCCTCCTTCTCTGGTTGGGAATTGGTGAGGATGTAACTCTGGCAGTTGCTGGCATCCATGTCTCTTGAAACACGGAGAGAATGGATCAGGAAAACTAGTCGGGAAAAAATTGGTTGGTTTGCAGAGAGAACCCTATTGGCCTTCGTTTCCCTGGTTCTCTTCCTTCCTGAGGTCACATTCTGTGTCCCTGCTCTTTCTACATGTTGCAGAAGTGAGTGAATCATTTTCCGCTTTTTTACATTTTTCATTGAGTGTGGTAGAGTGGGCTTCTCTGGCTTGCAATAGCCTATTGTTAAATGTTCAGGAATTTTGCTAACTGAATGTTAAATGGTTGGGAGCTCGAAATCAGCTCTGGTGGAAGTATTTACTCTCAGTCTACCGATGGGCGTTTCCAGCCCATGGAACTCTGCAAACACTACCCACTACAAATCAGGCCTTTTTTTTTCCCCCCGGAGAGTGAGTTGTTAAATATTTACCAACTTTCCTTAAGGTAACTGGGCAGCAGTTCTGTCACTAACAATCCAGAGTATTTTGGACGATGCAGCCAGAGATCCTGAGAACACCTAAATCCCACCTGAGACTTTCATTATCTCTAGTTTTCACAAATGAAGAAACATCGCCTAGGCCGTCCCAAAGGGACGTGACACCCAAAGGGAGTCTTATTGTTAGCTGGGCTTTAGGCCCCAAACCCCAGAGCAGAATTCTGGTGCGTGAAACTGTTCTGCACAGCCAAAGCTAGACATATAAAGGTTCAACTTCTCCCCTAACCTGAATCTTGGGTGGGCCATTTTGCAGAGAAAAATGACACAGTGCACATTTATCAGAGCTGTATGCAATGAAGCCACACAGAAAGAGACCTCAGCAGAAAGTGCATTTGCCTCTGAGCTTAGCAAGGATCTACCCAGGCAGGAGTCAGGCCCGCTTGCTGCATGGGAGAAAAGAGAGCCAAGGAAATGCCCAGGCTTTCTTTAGGGGTCCATGTTCTGGGTCAGTTTTCATCTGGGAATGCATTCAACAGATTGGCAGAAAAAGGAGACACTGTATCCGTCTCCAGACTTCTTTCTGCCCAGTGACCCTCCCCATGGTAAAGGTAACCCAACAAGTACCTGGGCCTCCGGTTGATCATATTACTCCTCTTCCTTTTCCTCTTCCTTCACTTGGAAGTGAAGAAAGAACAAAGGGGCTCAGAGAAGTAACAGGAGATAAAAGCCCCTTCTCCACATGCCTTCAGAATTATTTTGGCAACACTAGGAACATTAAAATTGTCCATACTTCTTTATTTCTGGAAATCATTTCTAAAGAAATAATACAAAATAAAGGAAAATGTTTATGCACAGACTGGTTTATTATTGAGCTTTTTGGACTAGGAAAAAAATTGGAATCCACACAAAGGTCTAACAATAGGAGAATGATTAAGTAAATTACAATATATTAACTCAATATAATGCATTGCAGTCATGAAAAATGTTTTGTAAAGGTTATAAGAAGATGGAAAAATTCTTATGTTATCTAAATAAAAATTAGGATATAAATTTTGTATTCAGAATGACAGGTAACACAAAAAGGAAAGAAAGGCAAACTAGGCATTGGCTGAAAACTGGAAAAACATACTCAAAAATGTTAACTGTGGTTTTCTTCTTTGGGCAGTAGAACTATTGATGCTTTTCAGTTCTGCTTTTCTCCATATTTTGCAAGTGGTGTTCAATAAACTTACATAAAAATGGATACCATTTTACTGAGCATGTACTATGTGCCAGGCCTTATGCTAGGCACTTTTCATAGATTGTTTTGTCTAACTCTCCCAGCAAGCTGGGTGCAATGGCACATACCTGTAATCCCAGCTACTTTGGAGGCTGAGGCAGGAGGATCACTTGAGGCCAGGAGTTTGATGCAGCAGTGCATGATGATCTCACCTGTGAATGTCTACTGCACACCAGCCTGGGCAACAGAGTGAGAAGCCCTCTCTAAAAAAAAAAAAAAAAAAAAAAAATTAATCTCATAGCAACCCCATGAGTTGGATACTTTCATTACCTCCAGTTTACAAATGAGGCTCAGCGAGCTTAAGTAACTTGGCTAAAATCACACAGCTGATTGGTAGAGGAGCCAGGATTTAACAGCTGATCTGTTTGATTTCAGAACCAAAGCCTACTATCCACCCATCCCTACCAACAAGAGAAAAAAATAGGTAAGTAATTTGCATATGACTTTACATATAAAGAATTACATCTTAAAGAAAAAATAAACTTAAGCAGTAGATCCATCCTTCAAGGCTGGTTCTTTGGTGAGAACTTCTGCTCCTGTCCCTAAACCCTTGTGCTCCTGTTTGCTCCCTTCAGTCATTCTTATATTGTCCTATGTTGTTGTCTCTCTTTTCTTATATATAGGATTTAGGCTATCAAATAACCAGAAAGCCTGAGGGTTTCCCAACTGACTGAATGGAACCTCTGTTAGCCAAGGGGATCCCAAAGAAACTTGAAAAACTAGTTAAAGCCATGACAAGAAGGTGGGGTCAGACGTGCCTGCTGTACCCTCCTCCCTTTGGAGTTTAGGCCCAAATGACCAGCATTAACATTAAAATAGAGATCATAAGACTGACCGAAACAAACTCTTTGTAGGAACAAGATACCCAGCTCCAACCTGACTCTGGCATAGCATCACATGACAGATAGCAGGCCCTGAAGGACATGAAAGTGTTTTACCCCAAAATATATTTCTTTGACATATTTTGGAATGGCCCTGCAAAGCAATCTCCAGTAGGAGAAATTTGCATTCTGTAGAGAATCTCCTTCCCTTACTAGTTCTTTACTTGAGAATCTGACACCTTTTAAGGCCCAATAAGAGACATTTATCATCTGTTATTTCGGAAACCTATTACTTAGAGGTTTCACCTACATGACAAGAATTTGGCTTCCACAACCCCCCTTATCTTAACTCAAGCATTTCTTTAGGCCAACTTCAACTCTTCAGGCATAGCTTAACTCTTTCAACCAATTGCCAATCAGAAAATCTTTAATCTACCTATGATCTGGAAGTCGCTCCACTTTCAAGATCTTCAGGATGTCCTGCCTTTCCAGGCTGAATCAATGTATACCTTATATATATATTGATTTATGGCTTTGCCTGTAGCTTCTATCTCTCTAAATATGTATTAAAAAGCTGTAACCCAACCATCTTTGGCACATATTCTCAGGATCTCCTAAGGCTATCATGGGCCATGGGCCTCATATTTGGCTCAGAATAGACCTTTTCAAATATTTATGGAGTCTGGCTTTCTTCATCAACAGTGGGAAGGGCATCTTCCCCTCACTCTATTCTTTCTACTTTTTTTTACACCCTTTCCTTCCTGTTGTATACTAGATGTCAGCGGCAATCTTACTACATCATATATAAAATGAGCTAGAAACTTCCAAATTCATGTCCTAGGCGGATGTTTAAATGCCTTACCCAAGACTTCCTCCAAATGCCCCAGGAGCTTGTTTTTTTATATTCTTATAGCTTCTTCTGCTTCCAACGCCTAACACTCTACCAAGCTACTTCATTCATGAAAAGTCTCGTCTTTCTGTCTCTGACCCAGACGAAAACTCAACCCCTTCCTTGGTTTCTGTGGAAAGCCCACACTTACAAGGTAATTCGCATGTGCAGAATTTACTGAAGACATTGGAGGCCCAAGGAGGCGTTTACTCTGCTGAAATTCAAAGAACTTCAACATGAACTTTGACATCTTTGTAAAAACGAAATGAAACAAAACAAAACAAAACTCTTTGGCCACGCGGCCCTGAAGATGTATTAGGGCCACTTTCCTCTATGTAGTATCTCATTGGATCCCCACTCTCCCTCCCTCCCTGTGGTCTCCCCTGACCTTGCTGCTATACTTGAACTCCAAATTCTCTCCACTCTGCACAGCCATTCAGCTCACGCAAGCCCCAACCTCTAGACTCAGCTCCTAACCCTCCCAGGTGCCCAGTTGAATAAAAGGAGCTTTCATTGAAGTAGAACATACTCTTCTTACAAGGCAGCTGTTTGTGGATGGCAAACATTTTTATCTTTTTCTGTTATACTTAAATATATAAACTTAATTGAGACTCTTCTTTGTGCCAGATACTAGTGATATACAAAAGTGAAAAATACGCAAGCAACAATCTTTAAGAATGTAAACCTTAAGTTCCTTAGGAGCTTGCAGCTTATGGAACAAATAACCCCATGCCAGGTCACTGATGCTATAATAGAGACAGGGCAAATAACCATGGGGCTCAAGGGGATGGGACAGCCTGTAGATTGGAACCCCTTAGAAATTCAAGAGACTGACATGCAGCTGTCTTGATTTCCTTTCTTTAGCCATGTGTTCAGCTGGTGTTCCTCATGTCTCCCTTTCAAAAGCTTCATTTTGGGTGTAACTGCTGATGCAGGATTCTTCTTGGCTCCTTTGCTGGACTCGAAGCAAGGGGCACCTGGTCTACTCGGCCCACCATGCTCAGCCCCTTGCAGGAGGGAGCACATGAGCGAGTGAGTGTGGGGTTCGGCCAGCCACTCTGAACACCAACACAGGAGCAAGCTCTGTGCAGGGCCAGTGCCCAGAGCAGGCATGTTACCCCAAGGGGAATGTGGCGATACCCAGGCCGGGATGCCTGCAACCCCAAAACCCCAGAGGGGGTGTTAGTGGGATAATTAGCTCTTTTAATTCTGCCATCCACAGCCTGACAGATGGCGGCATGTTAGCAGCTCAGTCGGCCCCTGGCCCCATCTCATGGGGTGGCTGTCCTCCGCCAGGGAGGGCAAAGGGCCACTGTGACCACCTTTCTGGGTATCTGCTCTCGGTGGGTCCTGAGCTGTTGTCTAGCATCCAAGAAAAATGAGATCATGCTGACGATTGAAGGGTAATGATAGCAGATAATTTTATTGAGCAACAAAAACAGCTCTCAGCAGAGGGAGCTGGAGAGGGGATGAGATCAGGTCATCTTCCCTGAAGTCAGATCATCTCTTCCCCAAAGTCAGGTTGTCTGTGTCATTGTGGCTGAATCTGGGGTTTTTATAGGCACAGGATAGGGGTGAGACAGGCCGTAGGTAGTATTGGAAAAGACAACATTTGATTGGTTAAAAGGCATTATTCAGAAAGAGCCAATTGGGAAAGAGCAGACAAACAGGAATAGAAGTTCTTACTCTGGGCCATGGGTTTCAGGCTGTTTTTTTGGCTTGAAGGTGGGGTTTCACTGGGGACCCACCCCTGTTTCTCTAGAATTTTTCTGCCTTCTGCTCCTGTTACTGCCATGATTCTTTCCACTGCATTATGTAATATACAGCATTTATGAATGACAATGACACTATCCCCAATAACACTAACTTGACAATAACTCCAATTTGAAACGTGTAAAACAGTAGCTCTGCACTACCTCTGAACCATCCTGTGGGGTACCATGAGCATCTGCAAGATCATTTGGTGGTTTGAGCAACAGAGGATATTGAGGGTTCCACAAAGAAAGCCAAAATGTGCTAAGATGCTCAATAAAGTCCATTTCAACCTAAGTTTCCTGTTCCTGTTTTTTTGTTGTTATTGTTTCCTCAAAACCAAATGCACACCAGAGCTTTTCTTTCAGAGTCTTTAAAAATAAATGGGGGTAAGGGAGAGATCTCTGTTATCACAGAGGATGTTGCCTGCCTTGACAATGGTTTCAACAGTTCCTTTACAAAATGCTGTGACTGTGCTGTTTTTCACCGACCAGCTTGAATTTTGAGCATGCAGCAATTTGGTTGTCAAGACAATCAAACTGTCTTGTCATAGAAGCTCTAATATTTGTTGAGTACATACTACATGCTAGTTGTTGCACTGACTGGTTAAATATAATATCAATTTAAACCTCAAAATGAACCTATGCAGTAAATGATATGTCAGATTTCTAAAAGAAGAAAGTGGAAGCTCTTGCATTTTCCAGAATTATATACAAATAGAACCATTCAATGTGTACTATTTTGGGCCTTGCTTCTTGATGAATTTGAAAATGAATTTGCCCAAGATTGCACAGCTGATAAGTAAAAGAGCTGGAATTTGAAGCCAGGTTCATTTGAGTCTAAACTCATGATATCTCTCAAACGTAATAATCTATGGAAATAAAAATTGCATTGGTTTTGAGGTTATTTCTAATAATTTGAAGCCAGATGTCAAAATCAAATGTTTTATCTTTTAATGATATAATCAAGATTTGCCTTCACCTTAGCATAATATACTGCTAGTAAGTTTAAAGTTCAAATTGTAGTTATTGATGTCCTCTGGGTTGAGATATTTTAAATTGTTGTTTTTAAATATAAAAGAGACATATGCTCATTGTAAAATGCTATAACTTTATGGAAGTATAAAGCAAAATGTAAATGTCAATAGCCCACAAAAATTTGAATAGACACTTAACCAAAGAAGATCTATGGATGGCAAATAAGCATATAAAAAAACTGTACATCATCATCAGTCATTAAAGAAATAAAACTTTCCCATTAGAGGACCTAAAATTTAAAAGTCTGATCATGTCAGATATTGGCAAGTATATAGAAAAACTGGAATACTCATATACAGCTGCTGGGATGTAAAATGGTACAACTGCTTTGAAAAACAGCCTGGCAGCTTCTTAAAAAATTAAATATATACCTGCCATATGACCTAGCCATTCTACTCCTGGGTACATATTTACACAAGATAAATGAAAACGTGCAAATGCAAAGACTGGTACACAAATGTTCAGAGCAGCATTATTCATAATAGCCCCAAACCCTCAACAATCCAAACATCTATCAGCAGATACATGGAAAAGCAAATTGTGATACAACCATACAATGTAATGCTATTTAGCAACTAAAATGAATTAATTATTTATACCCTTAACAATGTGGATGAACCTCAAATTAATATTGCTGAATGAAAGACACAAGGCCAAAAATAGTACATATTGAATGATTCTATTTATACACAGCTCTAGAAAAT